TACATGAATGTAACAGCTGCACAACTAGAGCGCAACGCAGCCAGTATTTAGAGGTCCCAGGATCTTCTCTTACACAGATGGGTGCCTGCTGGTTCTGTAAACTACAATGGAGTCTCTGGCTTTGGGTTGATTTATTCGATTTTGCCAATAAACAAATATCATTTAAAAGAAATGCACTTCCGACTGTTTACTTGGTCAAACTTTTGGGGTACTATGCAAAACATTTTTTAAAAGGTTAACAATGCTGTTAGCATATTACAGACATGGGCTGTATGTGTTACAGACAGCTACATGCATGCCAGTAGAATGTTTTTTCCCCATGGTAAAAAGCAACCTGTTGGACTTCTCAGCCATTTATTATTTAGACTTTAATCTACTGTAAACTAGATGAATACATCCTTCATATGAACTGTTATAATTATTACAGTAATTAAGGTGTGTTTTGTAATTGTAATGAAGTCTTAATGATAAGTGAAATCACTAAGCTATCTTTCAGCAATGCAGTGAAACTGTAATGCTCTCATAGATCAGTTTCTGAAATACCATAGTTGAACTTGGCCAAATGTGTACACACATGCACCGACGTGCAAACACAGAAGAGAAAGAAAAGAGAGAACCTTTCATTTAGCAGAAAGACAGATGCATTTAAAAATGGGCTGCATGACTTGGCATGAATTTCTAGTCCCAGCTGTAGATTTTAAAGGATGCTCTCTATCTGCAATTAAATAAATTCCTGCAGCATTTCCTGCTACTAGCCATCAGTTGGGGACAATGTCCAGAAATTTCTCTTACACCTGTCAGTGTTGGACCAGTCTGCACACACTAAAATTTCACTTCAGGTGGTCTCAAGGCTTTAATCAAATGCCTGTCAGTAAAAGGATATTACTCAGCCACCTCACTGGAACATTGATGACTGGCAAACATTTCTACTGTGCTTGAATGTTTCAGCTCTTTTAGGCATGGCTGATCCTCTTATCGTCTCATGGAAGTCACTGGACCTCCTCCTGTCAAGAAAGCTATCCATATGCTTTGTTTGGCAGGATCAGGTCCCTTAAACATTTAAGTATTGTATATTCTAATGCTTGCTATTTCCATACTGTGTTCACCAGCAATTAAGAGCAAAGCCTTTCATTCCGTTAAAAGGATAAGCAAGGATGCTTTAGGCTGTAGCCTGATTCATGTGCATATTGCATCCTTATGTTTGATGGGTTAGATGTAGTAACCAAATAGGTTTGGTTGGAAATTATCCAGTGAAAGCACATTTCATCACAAAACAACATCAGTCATCAAAAGCAAACTTTTTTTTTTTGCAAGGAGATAGCAATCATTAGACGTTTTCTCATGGATGGAATTTCTCATCAAAACAAGGGGGAGAGAGAGGAGGAGAGGTATAACTGGCCAAGACTGTGCTCTGGGCATTCTCCATTTCCCCCCTCCTCTTGTGCCTTCCTTGAAAAGCCTCTGGCTCTGGTTCTGCCTCCCTAGGCTCTGGCAGCAGAGAAGAAAAGCTGTGGTGGCGGCACAGAAAGAGTAGATGGGAGTTCGCTGCTGCTGAGGGGAGATATCACCTCATTATCTTGCTGCAGACACTTGTGTCCAGCACCCACAAAAAAACAACAGTTTTCAGCAGCAAAAATGTGCATGACATCATCCTCCCTCCCTCCCCCAATCCCACAGCAGAAACTACATTTCCCACAATGTCCTTCACTTTCACACACTCTGTTGCTGTGACTTCCCCCTGCCAGAGCCGCCCACCCATCTTTCTACCACTGAGAGAAGGAAATATTTACTGGAGTTAGAACTTAACCCTCAGTTTCCTAATATTCCCAGGTGAGTGCCATGACCACTGGGCTACCCACTCATGCTCCCTTCCTTATTCAATGGATATTGAAGTATTTGTACAAAGTAAAGCAACTCCAACACAAAATGGTGAGATCTACCCCTGAATAGCTAACAGCCTGCTTGTGAGTGGATTCAGCTAGGGTGTGAGGTGAGTGTGATGTTTGCAAATCTCTGGTCTAAACCAGTAATACTGTATAACTAAGAGGTGTGACTAGGGCAACAGCCCTGGGCAATGACTGGGCAGGGGGCCAAAAAACAGCAGCTGTTACTGCCACCAGTCTAGCTGCAGCTTCTGGTGCATGTGCCACCACTGCCCAAGGTGCAGACCTGCTGAGTTATGCCTCTGATTCTGAATTGGCCAAGCAGGGATCTGAGCTCTGGGGCCAGAATTTCTGACCACGTAGATCTTGTTTTATCTTGGCTAGCTCCCCGACTTGTTTCCTAACTCAAACTGCAGGTGCTGTTCCTTCTCTCCCAGGACAATTACGATTAAAGAGTACGGCAGGTTATAAGTGTACATAAAGTGACTAGAGCCATTATGTTCTCCAGCTAATGTAATTGTCTGAAGTCACTGTCCCATCCTGATCTCTTGCCACCTCCCAGGTAAATCAGTGAGAAAGTGGGAACATGAAACATCTCTCCATCAAACCGTTAATCACATGCCTTGTGGGGAAGGTTATCAGAGTTGTGTAATATTGATTCCTCAGACACCCATTTTTTTGGCTCTCTTCACACAATCATGTCAACCTTTGGCCTCACCCATTGGAATTACTTGCTTGTGAACATGATTATGACAAGGGCATGACCCAGCTTCCACTGTGTAGTTACCTGATTGCTGCCAGTGACGTCAGCTGGTGTTCCCAGGTCTCAGTTTCTTTACTCTTTCTTCTAAGTCAGTAAGAGCTAATCTTTTTGGCAGGTGTGCCACACATTAAGCTCCACACCCTCAGAGTGCCACTCTGATTCCCTTCCATTGCTGGATCTGCCACTCTGCTTTCTGCTCCCTGTCCTATCTGTCACTGTGTTTCCTGCTCCCTCCCCAGTCTGCTGTGTGCCACATGCATAGGCTCCCTATGCCACAGGTTAGATATGCCCGTTCTAATCCAAATCTGGATTTCCCTTACATCTCCCCCTCCCAACCACCATGTTTATGAGATATACCTGCTAGTGGGAACTGATGTTGCTGAAAAGGGAACATGGCTTTGATGGAAGACTGAGATGTCTCCACCTGAAGCCCTTGTTTAGCTCTTTTGACATCATTCACATCCCTGTTACTTCACTTGTTCCATGGAATTGCTCAACTTCCTTGGTTTGTTTATCTATATTCACCATCTCCCCAATCTACTACCACAGGCCTAGCCCTACCCATGCCAGAGCTTCCAGAAGAGACAAGCTTCTTTCTACTTCTGCAACAACTGAGGCAAAGGTCCTGTGGACAATGCTTTCCTTCACTACACAACCCTGATTCATCCTCAGAATCAGCCTGGCCCATACATAGCATGAGATAGGAGAAAAATGGTGTGAGGTCATGTAATTAGACTATAGCAGGGGCGATGTGCACGCAAGTGCACGTGCACCCCCTGCAAAAAGGTGCCACCGCTGCCAGTGGTGCCTGCAGGTGGTTACCAACTCTTGGTCGGCACTCGCCACCCCATGCCACTGACTGTGCCGGTGGCATCTGCAGGAACTCCCCGCTCACTGGGCTTCTGCTGCCACGCTCCTGCTGCTAGGCACAGCTGTGCCCCCTCAGCTGCCGGGGGCCCATGCTGTTCATAGACTATATCATAATTAATATGTACAAGGGGGCTGAATCAAGAGTGCACAATCATCTAACATTTGCTGACCTCTGGATGCTTCACTTTGCAACCTTCGTAACATTCTTTTAACTTCTTTTTGGGAAAACTATTGGACATGTTTTGGGGCATCAAGTGCCTTTCCTCAGGTCGAAGAAAGAGGCAGACACAGGCTGAGCTAAAGTTCGGTGAAGACTCCTTGTAAATGCAGACTGTTGCATGCTCAAAAGCTTGTCCAAACAGCTCTCCCAATGTAACTGTTCGACCAATAAAGGATAACATAAAAAAATCCTTTCCTTTTTTCTTGGGAGAAGTGCGAACCAGGCTTGGGGGCAGGGTGTGGAAATGTGCATTTTTTGGATCTGGGCTCTGTCCCCCAGTGCAGACTCCAGATACACAGAGAGGCTGCTGCCAAGTCCAGAAGGCATGAGGACAAAAGGTAGGGGGGTAGCACCACATCCAACAGCTACTCAAACCCTCTTTTCCATGAAGAGGGTAAGAGGAGATCCAGTCTGAGATCTCTGCATCCTATTTGTATGCAGCTCTTACCAATTTCTAGAGATGCAGCTGGACAGTATCGTTTAGAGGTGCTCTCAGGGACAGTGCCCCCAAGTGAAAACTTTGTGGTAGGAATTTACTTTCCCAACATGCTGGGCTGGGTTGGATCAGGCCTATCTTTTCTAGTGAGGATTTTAAAAGGCTGTGCAACCAGTCCTGAAGACAGATGCTTTACTGATGAATAACTGAATCTCTCTCCCACCCTGTTTTTGTTTCTGTGCGCCACAGCAGATTATTTTTCAGTTACTTGTCCAACCTTTCACAGTGGCTACAACTGTACAACTAATAAACTGAAAAACTATGAGGTCCCACCCTGGAGAGACAAACTCCCACCCTCTTGGTTGCATATACTTAGTTGAGGGATCTCTGAATGTTTCCTGATCACCGCTGTCCTACTTGTTCAGCTCATGGAAATGCCACCAAGAAAAAACGGGGCTTAATGCAGGTGCGGATGTTTACCAGCAAAGCAGACATGATTATTTAGAAACGAATATAAACAGAAAGTATCTTTACGAAGCTGCCCCGAAAAACCTGGACTCTCATGTCGACGGAAGTGATTACAGAGTAGAGGAGCATCTTCCTCTGCCATTGGAAACCGTCCTCATTTCTGAAGCCAGACACTCTACATAGGCGACTGGCAGGGGGTGCGAGGGGTTGCATGTGCCCCCCCCCCGACGGCCGACACTGATGCTGTCGGTAGGGCCGCTGCCATTGGCGGCTTCTGCGGGTGCCCCCAGATTCAGGAGGCACCAGTCACTCATGACCAGGCAAGCGGCAGGGAGCTGCCTAAAGCACAGATGCACCGACCTCCAACCTCACGGTTCACAAGGGAGCATTTGTGCGCTTCCTTCATCAAGCAACAGGCTGGAGTTGCGGGTCGCCAAACAGACAGCCAAGCCCCGGCCGCGCAACACGCGACCTTCGGCATGTCACGAGCCGCGTGTTTCTCGGAGGGCTCCGGTCCGGACCGGCCGGCTACAGCCTCAGCCCGCCACCTGCCCGGGCTCGGCACCACCGGGCAGCG